GGCTCCAGAGGAGGCAGCCCATCTGCCGATAAAGCAGGGGCTTCGTTACCACCAACAATGGATCTATGTCCCAGTCCCCCAGCGACTGCCTGTACTACAGCATCACCATGACCACCCCACAGCGGGCCACCGAGGTAGGCGCAACACCACGGAATGCATCCTACGTCGGTTTTGGTGGCCCTCTTTGGCAGCCGACGTACGCTCCTTCATCGAGTCCTGTTCGGTGTGTGCACTCTACAAACGTCCCACCTCAAAACCCGTCGGGTTATTACAGCCTCTGCCAGTGCCAACCCTTCCATGGCGCAACATAGCCATGGATTTCATCGTGGACTTACCTCCTTCACAAGCTTGTACCACCATCATGGTGGTGGTAGACAGATGTACCAAGATGTCCCACTTCATTCCGACCTCCGGTCTCCCGACGGCCCAACAAACCTCGAACTTGTTCCTCCAACACGTATTCCGGTTGCACGGGCTCCCTGATTCCATTGTCTCGCCGGGGCTCGCAATTCACTTCCCGCTTTTGGACCCAGTTTTGCCGTAGCCTTCATATCACTCGCAGCCTGTCTTCTGCCTATCACCCCCAGTCCAATGGGCAGACCGAAAGGACCAACTAAACCCTCGAGCAGTTCCTTCGCTGTTACACATCCCATCTGCAAGATGACTGGGTGAGCCATCTCCCCTTCGCGGAATTTACCTTCAACAATCAGCTTCATTCCTCCACCGGGCTCTCACCATTCTATGCTAACTACGGCTACCATCCCTCAACTCTCCCGGATCTCCCCCTTGATGTCCCGGTGCCTGACGTGGCTCAACGGGTCCGCCTCCTACGAGAACTGAGGCGGACCCTAACGCAACAACTTCAGGCTGCGCAGCAGCGGCACAAGACGCAGGCAGACCGTAGACGCACGGAGTCCCCCAGATACAAAGACGGGGACAAGGTGTGGCTTTCCACACAGCACCTCAAGCTGTCCTGTCCCTCCCGAAAACTGGGACCCCGTTACCTTGGTCCCTTCGAGATCGTGAGTATGGTCAACAACGTTGCCACCAAGCTCCGGTTGCCTGCTTCCCTGGGAATCCACCCGGTATTTCACGTGTCCTTATTGAAACCTCACCATGACAACCCGTTCCCGGGCCGGGCACCTGCTCCACCGCCTCCCATCCAGGTGAATAACGATGACGAGTACGAAGTCCAGGAGATCCTGGACTCCCGCCGCCGGCGTGGGGTCCTTGAGTATCTCGTCCACTGGAAGGGGTACGGTCCCGAGGAGCGTTCCTGGGAGCCCTCGGGGAACGTCCATGCGGACGCCAAGGTTCGGGCGTTCCATCGGGCTCACCCCGAGAGGCCTTCCCAGGGTCGCGTCCGGAGGCCGCTCCTTGGTGGGGGGCTCTGTCAGGAAGCAGGGGATGTTACCTCTACTCGGGGACCACGGGCACGGCGCAGGGCACGGGTTCCCCTTCAGCTCGGTAGAACACCTGGTGCCCGAGGTGCAGGTGCGCATGCGCGGGTCATGCGGCGTGGGCGCATGCGCAGTACGCAGGCTGCGCGCGCATCCCCGGGAGCATAGCGTTCTTGCATCATCTGGCTATCAGGTGTGAGCCTTGCTGGGGGAGGTTCCCAGTACACACCTTCCATCTTCCTCGCCTGCCATTGGTTCCCGGGGAGGGAGGCCTCCTGGTTGCCTCGGTGACCAGGGGGTGGTCCTACCTCCCCTGGCTATAAAAACCTGGCCTGAGCTCTGGCTTATTGCTGAGTTATTCCACCTTATGGTGAACACCTAGCCTCCCTGCTGATCCTCCTATTGCCTGTTGCCCCTGTGTATCCTTCCCGATTACCGACCCTTGGACTGTCTTCCGCCTTTGAACCTTCGCTGCCTGCCTCGACCCGGATTGGACATTGACTACCCCTCTTGGATTATCCCTAAACTTGTACCGCGTTTCTGGACTGTCAGCTGCTTATTGCCAGTGGGTTCCTCATCTCACTACTAGCTCCCTGGGACGTCTGACAATATAACATTTGTGGCATCCAAATCATTTTCAAAAACTTAGTGCGGCCCACCACTGAAAGATGAAGCCAACACCAAATCTTAGATGAATGTTTGCTTAATGTCAGATTAATTGCTTTATAAATATGCCTCTTTGATTTTCTTAGGATAAAAAATGTGATAGTTGCTTATACCAGAACTCTGATGTTGCCAGACAAGCAGAATAAACACATGTTCCCAAACAAGCAGAATAGATGTGTCCACCTTAGACTTACATTTACATTAAAGTCTTGTTTTTTTTACATTTATCTACTGCTAGCAAACAGTAGATATATGACACAACATAAAAAAGTCTGCGCCGCTCACTCCCGGCTGCACAACACATGCACATTCTATATTACTGGTGGCGAGAGGAGGAGAGACACAGTGGGAGTGAATGCATGCAGCCGGGAGCATGCACGCTAGACAGACTGCATGGGACAGAAAGAAAGAGAATTTGGTACTGGATCAGAGAGCAGCACTAGTGCTGGAGGGGCTGATATAAACAATTGAAAGGAAGAAGATGAAAACATCAAGAGGCATTGCATAAGGTAAGTACAAAAGCAGAATTAGATTGGGGCAAAAAAAAGGCATAATATGTTGCCACATTGGGGACTGAGAAATGTACATAGGAGGTCAGGACTAGCAATCCCATGGCAATGACAATACACATTATTTCAACTAATTAAGTTCAAATGCAGGTAGTGAAAGGGAAAAAGGTGCAGATGGTGACATAGTAATATAGGTAGGTATTACGTAGGAGCCAGTTATGTGGTGGCAAAGAAAGAAAGAAAAATAACGGAGTCATTGACCGCATATCTGAAGTAACCAGAAAATATTAAAGGAGGGAAGATGCAGAAAACAGAAGGTAAAGAGAGAAAATAAAGCCAAGATGAAGCATAGAAAGGGAAATCGGTGCAGCGAGAGAAAAAGAGGGTAAAGAAAAGTAAATTCTGTGCTCCCCAGTAGACCAGGAGTCCCCCAGCTGAGTTTTAAGAAGGTGAAAAAATAGGGGTGAATTACATTGGAAGATCATTTCTTCACGAGGAGGACCAGGTTTTCTCAAATACAGGCATGAGGTTACATAAGCATGCCATTAAATATTCCATGTTAAAGATATTGTGAATATGTCTATAGAGATCTAGAGAAGAGGGTGGTACGGGGAGATACGGCACCTAGTCGCAGTCAAGACATGATTAAATAGTGTAGTAGAGTACTTAGGCATAGGGTTAGGCTGAACACAAAACTATCAGGGCGTTTGGCAGGCTATTCGTCCGCCGAGCAACCCATAAGTCAATGCGCCTTCTTAAGCCATAATTGGCTAAACATTTGCACCTGACCATAGGTCAGATGCAAGACTTTGCCCAATCAGGGCACAGAGAACTGTGGGAGCCATGAGTGGGCAAAGTCATGATGACTTTGCCCAATCATGGCTCACCCGTTACAACTGTAAACCGTTGGGAGGAGCTAGCTGTCACTGCTTGCCCCGCCCAATTGTTTATAAGTTGCCGGCATCTGTCAAAATGCCATTATGTGGCGGGTGTTCGTTGCAGCAGACGGGACGGCGGTCATCATTTTTTAAATTGTTATTATTTCTATTTATTCTTTATTGAGTCTTCGTCATCGTGGAGAACACTGGACGTCATGATTGACAATGGATTACGTCGGTGGATCAATTTTTGTTTTTAATAAAGGACTTGTCAAAATCCTTTTTGTTGTGTTTTTTTTTTCAAAAAAAGGATTTTTGATTTAAAGTCTGGTGTTTTTATTTAATCTATTTTTTAACCATTTAGTGAATAGGTAGGGGTACTCATTCACAAGGGGTGTCGCATCTGGGTGCCCCTTTACTAAGGGGTACCATGCCGTGCATAAGCCCCCCTGCCTGCACCCCACAACCAATGCCCCAGGGTTTGTGGGGAAGAGGCCCGGGGACAAGGTGCTTTTCTAGGGGCGATCCTGGAAAAGCACCCTCCCAGTGCCGAGGACATGTGGCCTGGTATCGCAGGGAGGGGGGGTCCCTCCTAACATTCCTATGAGACCTAAAGGGTCTGGTATTGTTTGGGAGGGGGAACTGTATGCTGTTAGAAATTTCAGTTTTGCTGCAGCAGGCTATATATATATCGTACAGATATGCCACTTTACAGGCAGTTTAAAGGGACCCCCAGGCACGATATTTAAAGGAATTTTTTTATTTTTATTGTTTCACTTTAAACCATTTTAAAATCACTGCTCCTTTAAAAACTGTATTTTTTAAACATTTTTTTTCATTGATTCATGTCCCCCAGGGCAGTACCCGTATCTCCATACACATTTTTTGGCCAGTAACTTGCATATAAGGCTTCAAAATGGGGACATTTGATTTTCAAAGTTCTACCCCCACAGACTTGCATTGAGTTCCAGTTTGAAACTTTGCCCATGTTCGAAAGTTTGAATTTGAACCAAACACGGGGGTGTTTGGCTCATCACTACTTAGGGAGAGCGGGAAAGGTAAGGTCTAGTAGACTATGAGCAGGGTCCATAGGCCGCAACAGATTTTGGGGTGGTGTCCATGCTGTTTTTATAGCCAACAGCGTCCTAGCAACCAGTAATATGGTTGAACGACAGAGAGAAGTGAGAAGAATCTCCCTCTTAGCTGTTACAAGAGCTACAAGTTACAAGTGTCCCCACCGGAAAATTGCCCTTTATTCCTGTTCTGGTAACAATTGTGAAATTGGATTTCCCATCACTTTCTAGCTTGGTGACAATAGTTACAAGGAACAAGAAAGAGTGATGCAGGCAGCAATAAAAGCCTGATAGGAATTTTCACATGCAAATTATCCAAGTCTAAGAAAAGGTGTTGGTTTTGCATATAGTTTAAAGAACAGGCAGAATAAAAACATAACCCTTGCAGTACCCCCACACTGCAAGGGTTAAATGCTCATTTTGGTCTAGGGTGTAATATAAAAAGAATATACTCACCTGAACCTTGGTTCCACCTGGCTGCTAGATGGGTCAATGCAGCCTCCCCCCCCCTCTGCTCCAGCAGTGGAATGTCTATTGGAGTCTTCATGTCTAATACACTGATGACTCATGGATCCTTAGACCGCCGGAGCATGGGGGGGAAAACTGTGGGGAAAGGTCTAGCAGCCAGGTGGGACTAAGGTTTGGGTGAGTATATCTTTTTTTATTTGATACCTTAGACCAAAACACACACTCAGCCATAGCAAGGGTTACGTTTTGTTCTGCCCCACAATCTTCTTTAAGTGAGTTCCCGCCAGCAGTGTCCAGATGTTTGTAGAAAGGCTTATTTATTAAGTATATAAGTATACTATTTCACCCTTGACCATCATGTCTAATATGAATTTTACTATATTACAAAAATGTTTATAGCAGTTATTACTATCACTGCCTTGACTTTGGTGTCAGGTCATTGTGGCAGCATGATTACATTGTATGCCTTTAGGCAGCTTCTTGTTAACATTCTAGATTGGGATAGTACCGCTGCTAAGTACAAGATGATATGTTGTAGCATATTCTACTAGATAGGTAAAGTATGCCATTTTGCATAAAAACTACAGGTTTAGATTACACAATGATTTTGAAAACTGATCAAAATAATAGCGCATGTATTTGTATTAAAAGGGTTATAGACTTCAGAGATGGAAACATAATCCTGCCCCTGTACAAAGCATTAGTAATACCTCATCTGGAATATGCAGTTCAGTTTTGGGCACCAGTTTACAAAAAGGATGTTGTGGAAATTGGAGAAAGTGCAGCGAAGGGCGACTATACTCATAAGAGGCATGGGGGAACTCAGCTATGAGGAAAGATGAATTGACCTGAATTTGTTCTCTCTGGAGAAGAGGCGATTAAGGGGGGACATGATCACCATGTATAAATACATAAATACTCCATATAAAGAGCTTGGTGCCAAATTATTCATGTTAAGGTCACTGCAAAGGACAAGGGGGCACTCTTTGCGTCTGGAGGAAAAGATGTTTAACCTTTGCATACGGAAAGGATTCTTCACAGGTAGAGCTGTGAAAACGTGGAATAGACTCCCCCAGGAGCTAGTTCTAGCTAGCTCGGTTAATTGTTTTAAAAACAATCTTCACATTAACCTTTAAAGCACACAGAGGTACACCTAAAGCTTGGTTAAAAAACAGATATTACACAGAGGAAAAAAAATGTTTTAATAAAGAGTGAGATGTGTACTTTATATGGTACAGAAATTTTAATGCTGCCACAAAGAGGCAGCTCTAAAGTTTGCGAGGCCTTCGGCGAAGATTAAACATGAGACCCCACTCACGCCCCTAAATGGAAAAAAATTGCAAGTGATAAAAATTAACTATATACATTGCATATATTAAGACGAGCCTTAAATCCTACGAACCATGAATTCACAGTTTCTAACATTTTATTTGTCTCATAACCAATTATAAACCAAAATATCAATAAACAAACATAAGGTATAGATAAAATGTGTGCAGCTGCTCTGTGGGGTATCACCACTGCCATCAGGGCTCTGTGGGGACTCACCACTGTCACCAGGGCTCTGTGCGGTCTCACCAGGGATTTTTGGGGTCTAGCCAGGGCCCTCTGTGTCCTAACCAGCGCTCTGTGTGTTCTAACCAGGGCCCTCTGGGGTCCCACCAGGGCTGTATAGGCCGCATCTCACCAGGGCTGTGCGGGCCAGGTCTTTTCTCCAGGGCTGTGCAGGCTGCGTCTCACCAGGGCTGTGCAGGCTGCATCTCGCAGGTGGGAGCGGGTGTCGTAGAGCCACCACTGAGGCCTTCCAATGTTTAACTCTTGACTTTCCAGTTCGAGATCCTCATGCAGTCGATGGGAGGGGTGACATGCACGCAATGTCTCTCCTGATTGGCTGCTGGCAGGGCTCCAGGAAGCATAGTGGATAAACTGCGAGGTTATTGGCTGGGTAAGTTAAGTAGCCGTGAGGTCCTTGTGAGCACGAAGCCTTAGGGGACCGCCTAATTTGCCTAATTAAAGAGCTGCCTCTGCAGCCACAGACATGCTACGCTGTAATGGAAGTAGATATCAGTTACATTCAGTTTTCTTTTATTAATGCATGCGTGATAATGGTGACATTATGATTCTACTCAACAGAAAAAGTCCCAAACATACATTGTAAAAATAAATGACTACTTTTTTCTAGAAATAATGTTACCAAAAAGGGCTTTATGCAGTAAAAACAAATATAAATTTACCATTGTCTTATATTTAGTCCTGGTAATTTTACCACCTACATTAGGTTGAAAATCAGCTTTATATCCCTGCATGTGATTATACTGTTATAAAATTGAACTATTCTCCACTCCTGCTATAAAAGTTTTCTTCATTTCTAGGACTTTATGATGGAATTAACATCTCACCAGGGAAATGTTGGAGAAGTTTTGCAAGCTGGAAGTCAACTGTTAGTTGTTCGGAAACTTTCTGATGATGAAGAGAATGAAATTCAGGAACAGATGAATCTCCTCAATTCCCGATGGGAAAGTCTCAGGTTGGCAAGTATGGACAGGCAAAGCAAGTAAGTTATGATCATTTCACACTTTTTTTTTTTCTTTTTTCTTTTGTTGTTGCATAGTGCTTAATGTTTATCTCAAACCAGGGACAACATGTCACCAGAACAGAAGGCAAATTAAAATCTCCAACATCACAGGTAGCATTAAAAACACTTTTTTTCAGTAGTGTAGGACAACACAAGAACACATTAGCTTTTTATTGCGGCCTGTGTACCTGTGGAAGATTTTCCCTTAATTCCTGTTTAAAAAATTCCTGTGACAAAATTGGCAGTGTAGATGGAAGTGATTGGAAATCTCCCCCATATGGCCTCAGACAATAATGAAAACCTGACATTAAACTGTAAATTTACATACCTTGCAGTGCCTTTATTTCACCTGGTCTAAAAGAAAATATTTAGTGAAACAAAAATATTAATATGATTTCATCAATAAAATAAGTAATTGCCTACTGGCTTATTTACTGGCATGGATGAGGATCCATAGTAACAAAGAGAGCAAGTTGAATAAAAAAGTGGAGTATTAGGATAATAGAAAAAGACAGGATCACAAATTTTCGGGGTTGCTAGAGGAGCTAGTTCAACATATGTTCACCACTTGATTTAAAGTGTATTTTACCCCCAAAGTATGTGTGTGTTTGCCCCTGTGGATATTTAGCATTATAATCTGATATCTTTTCCTTGCCTCTTTTTCATTGGAAATCACTGGTGATCCTGCCAGGCATCATTCCTCCTTGTAAATGGACAATATAAAGTACAAGAGCTGATGCATGCTTGCATGGTCAGTTTGCATCCCCAGGCTTGCTGCAATAATGTACAAACTGGCGTGCTAGTGTACAGCATGCCTTTATCCCTTGTAGTCTTATTAATAGCCATATGCCCCACCCAGCCCTACTTTGGTTATTGACAGCGAGCGGTTCCCAGCAGTGGATCTAGCTGAGAACAGGTGATACGCAGCATACACAGATGATGAATGTGCTTCTCTGTCTGTGTGTGATGTAATATACTGCCCGCCTGCTTCAGCTGACCCTTCCCCTGTTATCTGAATGAGTACCTGAAAGAACACTGTGTGCACATGTGACCAAACAATAAAATAGCAAACAAAGTTAGCAACTATTGATTTTTGAGGCCAATCCAAAAAACAGCCACACACTTTCAAGTGCCTCTCTATTGTAAGGTCCAGTCAATTATATTGCAGTGATCCCCGCCTGATGATTGCTCACCTCTAACGCTTTACACCTAATCTGGCTCTTGGTGAAGATTGGCAGTGTGCAGCTGTTTTTTTAAATTTGCTTTGTTTTGGAATATGGACTGTGATGAACCTGAGCAGTGGAGCTGTGATGTGGAGGGAGCAGTGAAGGTCGCTCTTTTCATGTAAATATTGAATTTTGAAAAATGTAAATATAAAAATGGCATCTAAATGATATTTATATATAAGTTACTATGTCAGCTTGCATGTGCATTCACATATACTTGTGTTAAATACATATTTCAGTTATCTTATTTTTTGCTGCATGCTGTACAGGGAGTAGGATATTTAGAAGCAGACTATCTAGTTTTTAATCAAATGTATCCATCACAATTTTGTTTTTGCCATTTAAAAAAGGTAGATATGTTTTATAGATAAAGAAACAAGTATGCAGGATGGGAGTTCAGAGTCCTTGCCTCATTTACAGTACACTGAAATCAAAATGCTACAAATGTGGTAACTGGTAACAAGTGGTTAATTCATTTAGCAACATGGGTTGAAAATTACCTGTATCATTTAGGGGTCTATCCACCAAGCTGCCGTAGGCAGCAGAGTGAATAAACAACCCGAAGTGAAGTGAGCTTATTTAAAAATCGCATAGCTTCCCTGGTGATCTGACCAATTTCTAATCCCTGATCAAGCACATCACTGGATACCTTGCACGTGGAACATCGTTCACCCCCGTTCCAAGGTGCGGCCGCACTTGCAGGGGAATTGTCGGGCCACCTGTCCACAGTAGATGTGAAGTGAAACAGGTCGGGATCAAACTCAATGGAAGTTGGTGCAAGTGGTGGAAACATTTAAGCGATCAGCAGGATTACAAATGTTTTTTGAATAAAAAACCTTTACTAAGAATACCACTGGAATATCTATCATAGAAGTACGGACTCTTTCCCTTGTGGCCACAAGTGAGGAACAAGTGAGTAATCCTATCATCATATGCTGATACATTAGTATCCACCACCTCATAACGGTGTATCCGTTCATATCAATGACTGCTGCTCTGCCCTGCGGGTATTTCAACCCTGTTTATTTCTGTCCCACATTGAGTCACTTCAGGGAAGCTATGCGATTTTTAAATAAGTTTTAAATGTAATGAGGTGATTTATCTTTATGTGTTGCAATGTTTAAATAAATATGTTTGGATGCACTTTATATTATACTTGAATATCTATTTATTGGAGGGCTCCTACTATGGGATTTCTATGCTAGGGGGTTTGCGCTGTTTGAATACATTTTTCTGAAACCCTGGAGCTCTGTCCATAATTATATTTATATATATTTTTTACTTTTCTTAGCGTTACTCCTTTTCCCCCCGTTTTTGCAATCTATTCAAATTGCATTTGTATTGTGTTTTGGTGTATACAAAGGCAACAGAGTTAGCCCTGGATTGTAGTATTTGGTTTAATATTATCAGCCTGCTAAATGATCATTTTTTTCTTTTTTTTTTCCACTTCAATGAGTAGATGTGACTCACCTTCACTCTCTTGGGACTGATTGCAAGTTTTGTTAGAAATAGCAGTGTATCTCACTTGAAGCATGGGGTTTAGAGAATGGCGAGAGCAGCAAATAGTTGCTGAACTGCAATCATAGGATTGTCAATGTATCAAGTGCCCTGTAATATACAGTAATGATTGTTCTTTCCCAGTAGTTTTGTCTACTGGTAAGAAAAACACTGACGTTTTCAAGTTTTCTTTACATATTGTTTCTCTGATAAGTGAAAAATAACAGTGAGACCTATTTGACCCAATGCATTAAAAAGCATACATGCTGCACATATTGAAGGTGAACTCTAGGCAGATGTAAACGACACAGAATAGTGCAGTTCTGTATTCATTAATACATCATAAAATGTATTTTTGATTGCAAACAGTGTGAGTACCTAAATTAGACCAGGTTGCAACCTTTAATGGTGGCTATACACCAGACTGGGAAAGGAAGAAGCAGCACAGGTAGCCAATCTGTTCATGTGGCTTTGATGGTTAAGTTCACCTTTTCACAAAACAAGTAAAAGATGAACTAACTGACAACAAAAGATGAACTAACTGACAACAGCTTCCCCAGTAAGAGTAGCAAGATAAAAAAAACAATAGGAATGGCGAGCGCACAACAGGTGTGAAAAGTATGGAAAAACTTTAAAAAAAACTTTAAAAAACAGGTGTGGGTGGGCGAGCTCCTAAATCAGGGAGAGGGACCCTGTAGACAATATGGGAAAACGAAGAAAGAAGTGTTACAACCCTGGAATACTTAATGTTTAACAGTTTGGAAATTTTGTGTACATTTCAATGCAGACTCACTTTTGGACGGACGAGGTGGTATCTTGCCGTTACGGAGTGTCGGATGGTTGTCAGCATGGATCGCAGGGCGGCATCTGTGGGTCCATGTATTCTGGAGGGTGGTTAATGTAACTGGAGGGCCCGTTGAGGCGAAGTACACTGTGCGTGTAGTGTGACACTCGCCGTCAGGTAGAATGAGAGCTCAGCTGGCCAGGCTGCCACTCGTCAGCTGAACGGGAGCAAAAGCGCCACTATACAACGTTCTAACAGTGGGTCAGTGGTCGCTATGGAAGGGGTTGAGGAGCAGGCCTCAGGTCCTTCGTTGTATAGTGGCGCTTTTGCTCCCGTTCAGCCGACTAGTGGCAGCCTGGCCAGCTGAGCTCTCATTCTACCTGACGGCGAGTGTCACACGCCATCCGACCGCTTGTATAGTAAAAACATTGTGCGGCCCCCAATCCAATGCTGCACCCCCTTCCACCGCTACTGCCGGTTATCCACTGTACTCCCTGCGGGCCTGGGACAGCAACTGCTGATGCTGTAAATGGAGGAGAGACCAGCATTCTCCCACTGCTGATCTCTCCTTCAATGCCTGAAGGCGGAAGTGATGTGTATTTAATCACTTCAGCCTTCAGCTGTCATTTCTCTGGCAGCTATAGCCAGAGAATAAGCTGGTGAAGCAGATCTCTGCTTCATTAGCTTCTTTGGGGTCCCATGGTGGCATTAGGGTTCTTATTGAGCCCTGATGTCTCCATTAAGAGGACCGGTCACTGTATCTGTGCTATCACATAGGGCACTTGTTAGTAATAGCAATAAAATTAAGTGTAAAAAAAGTTTTAAAAAGTCACATATTAAAAAAAACGTAAATACGTGTTGGGTGCACCTATGTATGAAAACAATGATTACGCTACACATATTACTTCGAATTTCAGAGTATGAGCAATAATTTTAGATCCATTAATCATTGTTAACACTAAACTGATAAGGAGTAAAAGCTTTTAAAGTGTTGCCTATGGCCAATTTTAGGTGTGGTAGTTTTATTGCGATTTTGTGGACGTGCACAATTTTAAAGCTTGACATGTTTACCCAACTATTTACCCAGCGTGACCCCATATTTTATGTTTTACCAAAAATTTGGGTAATAATAAATGTTTTATAACATAACGTAGGGACAAGTTTTTTTTTTCCAAAAGTTTCGGTACTTTTTTCTTTATATAGTAAAAAACAAAAACCCCAGTGTTGATTAAATACCGTCTAAAGAAAGCTCTACGTGTCCCCAAAAAATGGTATAAAATTAATTTCAGTACTGCGTTGCCAAACATGAGTTTGAATCGAACATCGGTCCATTCAAACGCCGAACTTGATGAGATGTTTGCGGTCTGTGGCCCACTGGTTAATGGGGTAGGGCTCTGGATATGTAGTGCGATCACCTCCCCGATCAGCTGCCCATCCCCTGACTGGCTGAGCCAAGCTTAAGATGTATTCGG